CGTGCTGCTACTGTTTCCTTTGTGTGGACGTCGAAGATTTTCCATGCGTTGTAATTTTTCTCGATGCCGAGGTGTAGTCCCCACTGTGCCCGTTGCGAAAATCTTCCCGCTCGTGCTTCTGGGGGTCTGTACTGTACCATGCACCCGAAAACTCGTAACATTTTCGTGCTGCCCTGCTTCCCTGTCCACAGCAGATGCGGTGATGCGTTGTTCGGGAGTGACGACGACGACAACAAGTTGTGTAGCATGACAGCGTGGTCCATTGCTGCTGGCCACTGGTGGTTGGGTAGCCGCATGCCACGTAATAGTTTGCGCATGCTGTTCTGCAGGGTCCTGTTCAGTCGTTCTGCAACACCTTGCTGCTGATGTGCGTAAGGAAGGGAGAGGAGTTGCTTGATCCCCCTTTCCGCCAAGAACTGCTTGAAGCGGTGAGAGGTGTACTCGCCACCTCCGTCTGACTGGAATTTTTTCAGTTGTGTTCCAGACTCTCTCTCTGCTATCGGTAGCCAGGCGGCGAATGCTGTGAGCGCCATGTCGCGGCTGGGTAGGTTGCGATGCCAGACGTATCGAGTGGCGGCGTCGATGAAGGTGATGGTGTAGTTGTAGTTGACTTGTCCTGGCTCGCGATTGTAGAGGATGTCGCTGTAGACTTTTTCGAGTGGTGCGTACGCTGGAGCGCTCGGGTTGTGATGTGAAGCAAACGGTCGATGAGGTAAGTCAGCTTCGGGACATATAAGGCAAGTCCCTCGTGCCTTCTGGAGTTCTCTGCCATCGGGTAGAAGTAGAGAATCTTTGTCAAGGACTCCTGCTCTTATCGTGTTATTCAAAACCGTGTTACTTGGATGTCCTGTTCGTGCGTGCCAGATCTCTTCAGAGGCACGGTGTCCAGGTGAACGCTGATATGCGTCGGAGTTGGAGTAAAAGCTGGCGACGAGGTTGGCGCTTCGGTGGACTTCACGTTGAGTCGGATTCAGCTGTTTCGCGGGTGTTGGTGGTGCTTCGTCGACTGTGACTGGTGTCGTTGTTCCTGCTGCTGCTGATGTTGTTGCTGCTGCCGATGTTGTTACTGCTGCTGATGTTGTTGCTGCTGCCGATGTTGTTACTGCTGCTGATGTTGTTGCTGCTGCCGATGTTGTTACTGCTGCCGATTGTCGAATTGTTGCTAATGCTCGTGTTCGTTCTGCTTCAGGAATGGTGTGCGAGTACCAGAAGCCTCCTGGGCTGAAGTCGGGGTCGAGATCCGGAGGGTGTGTCCAGTCAGTGAAATTCACGATGGCGTCGCTGTCTGCAGTGCCCAGGTCAGGAACGAAGTCGAGGACGAAGACGTTGTTCTTCAGCACTGCTTTCCCGATGTAGAGACCGCCTCTCCCGTGGTAAAGTTTGAACTCCTGGGTCGTGCTGTCGGCTTCCAGATGAATTCCTTTCGCCATCAACTGGCTAACGCTCAGTAAGTTGTAGCCGAGTCCTTCAGCGATGAGTACCTTAGACATGTGCAGTATGACATTTGTTTCTCTTGACTGAAGCTGTACCACTCCTTGTCTTCGTGTGCGCAGGTTTTGGTTGTTGGCAACCGTGATGATCACTTCCCGTTGGAGTCGATGTTCGCGTTGTACGAAACGCCCGGACGAGCACATGTGTTGCCCGCAGCAACTGTCCAAGAACCAGGTGTCTTGGCCGGACGGTTCACTTTGAGCGATAGCGGCGTACGTTGGATTCGGCTGGAGTAGCTCACGGCGAGGCGTTCTGTTGTCAAGCTCTTCTTCCGGTGAGTAGTGTGGTGGTGATTCGGTTGTACATGAATCGGTTATCTTCGTCATGCAGTTGATTATATTTCTTGCTCCTTGTGCAGGTTGTCCGGGTGAAGTCGTTGAAGCTTGAATAGTGGTCGTCGCACTTGCTTGTGTTGAAGCCATTTGGGAGCTTGAAGGTCGAAGTTGTCGCTGTGGTGCCGTTGATTGCTGACGATTCGGGCAGTGTGTGCGCGGGTGCCCTGAAGTCTTGCAGATGTGGCAGAAGGGAGGTACTATCTTCGGTTGCTGCTGTCGGTTGTTATAATTGCTGTGTCGTCGTTGAGTGTGGAATGCGAACTCTGATACTGTCGTTTTCTTCCTGTGTCGTTCTTCCTGCAGGTCCATATCTTGCTGCTCGGCATGTATTTCGGCGCAGAGTGCAGCTTCAGAGATTCTTCCGTGGGCTCGAAGAATGGCTTTGGTGGCGCGCCACTGAGGACCAAGCCCACCAATGATGACTGTCACGAAGGCGTCTTCAGAGATTGACCCTCCGCATCGAAGCAGCTTGTCGCGCAGTTCGCGACATCGGCTGATATACGCCAATCCTTTTTCTCCTGGTTTCATTTCGACTGTCGTCAACTGCGCCATTAACCTGCTCTGGTTTACACTGTCTGTTGCTTGATACAGGTTCTTCAGATGGCTGTACGCGAGCTCCGCCGAGTTGCCGAAGGTCCGGTAAGAGCGAATGTTCTGCTGCTGAGTTGGTGTCACATTCCTCAATAGGATTGTATACGCCATCATTGATTGATACGTATACTGCTGCTTTTCATATTGTGTCCCGTTGGCTGGATACTGCAGGGACCCGTCGAAGAAGCCGAGTATCTGCGCGCCCTCCATCATCAGCTCGAATTCAAAGGACCAGGTAAAGAAGTCTTTGCCGTCGAAGGGTCTTGACGTTTGCAGTTTTAAGACGTGTGCAAACTGCGACTGAACTTGAAGTGCGTCCAGTGGTCTTTCTTGTCCAGGTGAAGGTTGCGGGTGGGGCACGAAGCTGATTGACCCGCGCTCGTACGGAGCAAAGGTAGGTTGCTGCTGCTGGTTTCCTCGCGCATATGACGACCCATCAAGACTCATGGGTGTCGCTCCGTTGTTGCTGTTGTGTGTTTGTGCAGGTCCCGACTGCTGGTGTTGTTCGTAGAAGGACATGAAGGAGAAAAATTTCTCCATCATGTTCTGGTCAAAGTCCGAAGGGTGGTTCATGGGGGTCTCGGTTGACGTTCCTCTTGGTCTTGTTGCCGTGCCTTCTTCTGTCTGCAGGCAAGAGGCTGACGGTGGAGTAGGAGTAGTGCCCGAGGAGCCATTAGGGGAGCTCCTTTCCTTGTTTGTTGCCATGTCTTGTAATGATATTGAAAAAGGAGTAGAGTTTCCCTTGTCTGCTCTCATACCATGTTGGGCTGAGATAGCCCCTTAGGATCTTTGCAAGGGATAACTCTAGGTGAAGTAGTTGTAACAGCGGAAGCGTTTAGTGAAGAATTTGAACCGACCTTGCACTGGTGTGTGAGAGCAAAGTTGATTGAATTAAACAAGCAAATACAAGGATTTATATAAGAGTACAAGGAATAGATAGATAACTGTATTGCTGTTGCGGTTCGATATAGCGCGACTCGGGCAACTGCTCTGTAACGAGTCAGTTGTGTGTCCTTAGCTGTCGCGCTGTAATTGTCGAGTCAAAGGTCAGCGACCTTTGACTTTCTCGTAACCTCCAGGCGGTTACCCTAACCTCCGAGGTTGACTCGATGCTTCGATTGGGACTGCTTCGCTTGGTACCTTGGATTTTGATACGACAGAAGCGCACTTAGGACTTATTGTTTCCAACACATTCATCGATCGACACTTGTGTCTTAATTCGAAAGTACCGCTCTGTACCGAACCGAACCCAAGTTTGAAATGTCTTAACAAAGTGGTTTGATTCGGTACAGAGCGGTACCTTGGGATTGAGACACAAATGTCGATCCAAGAATGTACCTTAAAGCCGGCGGCCCAAATTGTTCATGCTTTTAAAAGTTGACCAGAGGGAGTTTTTCTGGTGTGGGCTTCGGCGAGAGTTTCCGATTTCGTCTAGGTTCGTTTTTTTCGCGAGACCCAGCCAACCCTCGGTTTTCCCCCTGGTGAGTGAATCTGTCTTCGAAAGTTCCAAATTGCAAGTGCGTGACTTTCAAAAGCTTGGACACTCAACTTCGTCAAGTTTTAAAAACTTGACCCTCGCGGCCCGCAATTTGGGACGCGGGCTTTAAATTCCTAGAATCCACGGAAGATTTCTGCACACACCAGCCATACGCCAAATGTTTGTCACATGAAAAAAAAAAAAGCAAAACACGAATACAAAACACATACGTCAATGTGACCCATGACTAGAGAATAACTCGTTATTGACTCAACATAGACATTCTACATCATGGCTATCATTCAAGCACTCACATAAGCATCTAATCATTCAAGGACGAGGTGAACGTGCTTGATCGGGAAGAGATCAACCCAGTCACCGTCGCTCTGCATACGAAACGTACATAACCGTTTACAACCGCGCTAAAAAACGATTTATGAGGCGATCGATTCTCCACCTTTACCGCGTCCTAACGCAACCTTGTTTGTCGATCGCCTACGCTGACGTGGGCAGCTGGGGGAAGACGTGAAACCTTGCCCTTGGGTTTGGTTTGGGCATTGAATGGATGGAGTGAGGTAAAACGCAACAAACAAGAGAAAGTAGAGTGGTGCACACGCTAATCCAGCGGTTTGGTTCGGCACAAAAATGTAGATCTGATTGACCTTTTCTTATCTGTCGGCCGAAACTTGTCGGATCGCCTCGTGAAAATATCTGGCCGTCCAATTCTCCTCACATCCGTTCCATGACCCGTATCTTCACTTTTCTCCCAACTTCCCCTTTTGGTCCAGCAGTATCTCTCCCTACCAAACCCTGGTTCTGCCGCACCACCCACACTCAATGACTCCCTCCACTACCCATCCAACTTGATCAAACTCGCGATGGAACTCCATATTTTCGTACTTTCCAACTTCGATCCAGTTTTCTCCCTTCGTGCGGCGCCAGTTGCGTTCTCCACTCCAGCCGCGAGCTGGTTGATAGATACGTAGACCTAGATTTTTGGTTTCGTGTCTCTGCTTGTCGTGCCGATCTGCTGTGCGTTATTTAGTCGTTGAAACGAATTACAGAGGCGGGGGTGTAGCAGGGTTACGTTCGGTGATTCGCGCGCGATGGGTGTTCCAGCGTTTTACCGCTGGTTGGCGGACAAGTATCCGTTGATTATAGTGGATGTGATTGAAGAGGAGCCGCAGGTGATCGACGGCGTGACGGTGCCGGTGAACACGGTGGAAGCGAACCCTAACGGCGAGTTCGACAATCTGTACCTCGACATGAACGGCATCATTCATCCGTGCTTCCACCCCGAAGATCGCGTAAGTCCTTCTAGACGCTGTACGCCTTAACGCGTTTGAGGGGAATTCGGAACGGCGAGCCGAGAGTCTTTTTAGCGGCGAGTTCGACAATTTGTACCTCGGCATGAACGGCATTATCCACCTGTGTTTCCACCCCGAAGATCGTGTAAGTCATTCGACTGCGAGCCGTGCTCCTTTGAGAGTGAAACGGGGTCTAAGGAATTTCACTGGCGAGCCGCGAGTTTTTCTGATGACGAGCTCGATACTTAGTTTTTTGACATGAACGCCATCATCCACCCGTGCTTCCACCTGGAAGATCGTGTAAGTCCGTCGGACTTCTTAGGAGCAAACAGGGTTGGGAAGAGATTTTGAATGGCGAATGGCTTTTTTTTTTCAACTGCGGATTGGAGAATAGCTATTAGGTAGTGTGAACGACGCACGGCGAATGCCTCTAACGGCGAGCTGAACGTCTGTATTTGGTCATGAGCGGCATCATCCACCTGTGCGTTCTACCCCGACGATCGTGTAAGCCCTGGGAGACGCCTAGAGAGGTATTACGGCCGAGGGGATTTTTTATCGTCGAACCGCGAGTCCCCCTAACGGCGATCGTTTATAGGCTTGAACGGCACCACTCACCCGTGCTTCCACCCCGACGATCGTGTAAGTCGTTTGAGACGCCTTGAGAATGAACACGGTTGAGGGGAGTTTGGCCGGCGACCCGAATCTCCCTAACGGCGAGTCGCCATAATAACGGCGAGATTCTTTAACGGCAAGGCACCCTGACGGGGAGTTAATCTACTGCGAGTTACCTTAGGTGCGAGTTATCAATTTTTGCGAATTGGGCATGTGCACTTGGACATATGTGGCATTACTCTCTGCTACGTCCACGCCGGCGACTGCGCGAGTATGTTGTGGCGACCAGATAGCGATTCCGGTAGAGGATAAGCAAGTCGTTCAGTTATTCCAACTGTGTCTGTCAATCTGTGCTGTTGAACGTAGTTGTTCACTCAACGTGATAGCGTTTCGTGATGATGTTTGTGACGTTTCGTTGGGGGGTCGCGCCTGCGGGAGGAAGGTGTTACCGTGTTACCGTTCCAGGTGTCATCGAGTCCTTAGGCATGTTCCGCGTCGACTCTTGATGGGTTCTCACGTAATATCTGCAAAGGCATAAGTATGGGCATAACCAAAGAGCTCGCCATTTCACAACCTCATGGCATTACTGTACGCGCCACACGAGCCTCTGAATATTTCTAATGGCATGGCATCGCTTGTCTGTCGACCTTTGCTGCCCTCACGTTTCTTCCCCTCCTCGCACCCTCTCTGTTTGTCGACTGCATCCGTCCCTCACTCACGATCTTGCACGAGGTGTTCCAGTACATCTTCGACTGCCTAGACCTTCTCTTTTACCTGGTTCTTTCCCTCACGTCTTCTCCCCTTCCATCCTTTCGCTTCCCACACCCTTCTCTCCTGCAGTCGTCCCCCACGACCCTGCACAAGGTGCTATAGAACACCTTGATGCCTCGCTGACCTGGCTCTCGCCCCTCACAATGCCTTCCCGTCCATCCTTGCTCCCCCTGTCTTGCCTGCAGCCGTCCCCCACCACCCTGCACGAGTTGTTTCAGAACATCTTTGACTACATTGACCGCTTGTTTGACCTGGATTTTTTCCTCCCATCTCCTCCCCATCCATCCTTTCTCTTCTCCACACCCTTGTCGCATGCTGCCGTCCCGCCGCCCTGCACGAGGTGTTTCAGAACATCTTTGACTACATTGACCGCCTCTCGGCCCTGGCTCTCTTTCCTCACAAACCCCCGTCTTCTATCCTTTCCCACATTCTTGTCGCGTGCAGCCGTCCCCCACCACCCTGCACGAGGTGTTTCAGGACATCCTCGACTACACTACATTGACCGCCTCCTTGGCCTGACGCTTTCCCTCCCATCTTCTTCCTTTCATCCGTTCTCTTCCCTACAACTATCTCTCCTGCAGCCGTCCCCCACCACCCTGCACGAGGTGTTTCAGAACATCTTTGACTACATTGACCGCCTTTTCGCCATGATCCGCCCTCGCAAAGTGCTCTTCATGGGCATTGGTGGGTGTTGCCTGCTCAATTGGGGGGTATTGATGGGTGTTTTCTTCTACTCTTAAGGTCAATCCCCACTGAATCCAGCGTTATTGCTGCGGGGTGTCCTTCTAACTCAGAGAAACATTGGCGGGTGCCCCCTTCACACATCCTCACTGCCTAACCAACCATCACTGATTGTTCATTCGGTCAAGCAACCCCGGCTGTCAAGCACTGTTCCCTTATCGACTCTATTCCTGCAATCGATTCCGTCCCGCTAGTCAACGTTCGATTCAACTCAGCAGAGCACTCCCGGCTGTGCTGTGCTGATTCCTTCATTACCTTTCCCGGCGTTCTTCCTGCAGACGGTGTGGCTCCGCGAGCCAAGATGAACCAGCAGCGCTCCAGAAGATTCCGAGCAGCCAAGGACGCAGCAGACGCTGTAAGCATACACGCTATAGCCCCATAACTGCTATAGTCCCTCACCTGCTAAAGCCCCATACCAGCTATGGCCCCATACCCGTTATAGCCCCATAACCGTTATAGTCCCTTACCTGCTAAAGCCCCATACCAGCTATGGCCCCATACCCGTTATAGCCCCATAACCGCTATAGTTATCTGCTATAACCACATATTCGATATAGCCCGATCGCTGTAGCCCCTGCCATCCTCTATGTCCGTCCCTTCACTCGTGCGTGCTCCTTCCACAACAGCCCAACAAGGGGCATATAATATAAGCAGTGATTGGTGTTCTGCCCTGCCTTCCTTCTTCCTGGCACGCCCCACTTCTCCCAGATTCCCTGTGTTCTCTGGCAGTCCTAGCTGATCACCCTTTTTTTCCTCCCTGCCTGCCTTTGCACCTGCCTCCCTCCCTCCCTCCCTCCCTCCCTCCCTCCCACTCTGCCACGCAGGCAGCGTAGGAGGAGCGGCTGCGCAAGGAGTTTGAGCTGGAGGGGCGCATGTGCCGCCCAGCCCAAGGAGAAGTCAGAGACGCACGACTCCCATGCCTCCCTCCCTTCCTTCCTGCCTGCTTTCCTGCCCGTCCGCCTGCCTGCCTCCGTGCCCCCACACACAGGCAGCAGAGGAGGAGAGGCTCAGAAAGGAGCTTGAGCTGGAGGGGCGCATGGTGCCGCCCAAGGAGAAGCCGGAGACACATGACTCCAACGTCGTCACGCCCCTTGCCCCCCTCCCTTCCCCCACACAGGCAGCGGAGGAGGAGCGGCTGAGGAAGGAGTTTGAGCTGGAGGGGCGCATGGTGCCGCCCAAGGAGAAGTCGGAGACGGTCGACTCCAACGTCATCACGCCCGGCACGCCCTTCATGCAGCAGCTGTCCGTCGCGCTGCAGTACTACATCCACCTTAGGATCAATCAGGACCCCGCCTGGAAGAATGTCAAGGTGAGGATTTGGCAGGGTTTGGGGCTTTGGTTTAAGAGGTGAAGGAGGATACGCACGCCCTTGATACAACAGCTGTCCGTCGCGCTGCAGTACTACGACCACCTCAGGATCAATCAGGACCTTGCCTGGATGAACGTGAAAGTGAAGTTTAGGGTTGGGCCAGGGTTTAAGGGTGGCTAGTCAGTAGAGAGAGGGAGGGGAGAGGGTACTCCCGCCCTTCATACAACAGTACCACCTCCACCTCAGGATCGACCACCAGGACCCGGCATGGATTGTGACAGTGAGGCTGAGCGAGGATTGTGGATCAGGGTTCTGGTTTCAGGGGAGACGCGTGAGGAGAGAGAGGGAGGGGTGATATGAGATCAGAGGAAAACTGGGATCGATCAGAACTAATAGACCTTAGAAACACACCTTTTTATCTTGCCCATCGTTGGTTCCGCACCACCACCACCACCACCACCACCACCACCACCACCACCACCACCACCACCACCACCACCACCACCACCACCACCACCACCACCACCACCACCACCACCACCACCACCACCACCACCACCACCACCACCACCACCACCACCACCACCACCACCACCACCACCAGCAGCAGCAGCAGCAGGTGATTCTATCAGACGCCTTCGTGCCAGGAGACGGAGAGCATAAGATCATGAACTACATTCGCCCAGCCCACAGGTTACCTGATGCTTTCCCCTCCATGCCATGCCGTCCCACCGTCACCACCACCACCAGGTGATTCTGTCGGACGCCAACGTGCCAGGCGAGGGAGAGCACAAGATCATGAACTACATTCGCCTGCAGCGGAACCTTCCAGGCTTCGACCCCAACACACGCCACTGCATCTACGGACTGGTAGGTGACATGTTTATAGCTTGCTCGTTACCCCCGCTTAAACCTCGCACCCTAAACCCTACCTTTTTATTCCGTGTGGAGATCACAGATCCCAGCACCCCCTCCTTCCCTGCCGCCATTTGACTGTGAATCTCCTCCCACTGCATGCATATCCGACCATGGTAGCCTTGTCAAGAGAGGAAATGCACGTCACGTCAGCATGCCCCCTTGCTATCCTCCTCCCCCCCCCTCTCTCTCCCCCACTTTCCCGCTCCCTATCCCCAATCCCCTCAACACATACTTTCTTTCCCACAAAACCGCACAATTTCTTCCCTGCCTATTCCGCCCTCATCCCCTGCAGGACGCGAATCTGATCATGCTGCCCTTCGTAACACACAAAGTGCACTCCACCATGCTCCATCCTCTCTTTCCATCTCCCTCACGTCTCGCTCCCTGCATATGCCGTCCTCATCCCCTGCCCCTCGTAACACACAAAGTGCACTCCACCGTTCCCCATGCTCTTGTCCCCTCCCCTCCCCCCTCCCTCTCTGCCCTACCGCCGTCCCTTTTCCCCTGTAGGACGGGATCTGGTTATGCTGGCCCTGGCAACACACGAAGTGCATTCTTAACATTCTCACTCCGTCCCCACCTTTTGCCAAAACCCCCTCCTCCCACCTTCCTGTCGTCTTCCCCTTTGCCGCTCACTCTCATCTTCCTTCCCCTTGCAGGACGCGGATCTGATCATGCTCGCCCTGGCAACACACGAAGTGCATTTCACCATTCTCAGAGAGGTGGGTGCTCTCGTGCTCGCACTCTAGCTACTGTGTATGTGCGCTCACCCAGCCCCTCAGAACCCCACGCCTTGCTAGAACGCGCCCAATGAATCGTGCATCTCTCCATTCGTGATGCCCAGGCTAGCCTGCCTGACCATGCAGCATTCTCTTCCACCCTCCATTCCTGCGCCTTTGTTCATTTCACTGTCGTCAACTCTTCGCCCTCCACTCCCTTCTCTTCCCCCTTCTGTCATTTTCCTCGTTCCGTGGTTCTTACCTCCCTCATTGGCGAGTATGTCGCGGCCTGCATGCCTCTGTCTTGTTCCTAATCCCCTCCTCCTTATCCCTTGATTACTCTTTGTTTCCCGCACTCACATGCCATTGGCTGCCAAGCAGGTGGTGTTTCAGCCCGGGCAGGTGGACAAATGTTTTCTGTGCGGGCAGACGGGGCACCTGGCAGCAGAGTGTGAGGGCAAGCCGAAGCGCAAGAGGGGCGAGAACGACGAGAAGGAGGGGGGTGTACCCAAGAAACCGTTTCAGGTGGGTGTTTGTGCGTGGGTTGGGGGGCATGCGTCACCCATTATGCGAGCATGAAGCATCTGGTGGCAGAGTGTGAGGGCAAGCCAAAGCGAACGACGACAAGGAGGGGGGCATGCCCAAAAAGCCGTTTCAGGTGAGGATGCGTGTTGGGGGAATGGGTCACCCGTTATAAGTGCATGCGGGGGAGAGTGTAAGGGCAGGCTGAAACGCAAGAGGGACGAGCACCGGTCCATGTGCGGGGCGTGAGATGGACCCGGACCGGACCTGGAGAAGGCGGATGTGTCTGCAGGGTGTTTTTGAGAATTCTCAATAACACCCTGCCGCAAGATGGACCTGGAGAAGGCGGATGTGTCTGCTCTGCTCTCCAGCTCTGTTCCCTCAGTCTGCCCCTTTTTGCCATTCCCCTGTTGCACTTGTTCTCTTAGTTGCTAATAGAGTGCTGGGAGTAGAGATGGACCTGGAGAGATAGGGATGAGAGGGGTCTTGCCTGTTTCCCACATCTGCTGCTCTCATTGTTCCCTTCCACTGCCTCCTCCCTGCGTGCCCGACATCAACAGTTGCTGCAGTGCTGGGTGCTGCGAGAGTACCTGGAGCTGGAGTTCCGCGTGCCGGGGGTGGAGATGGACCTGGAGAGGGTGCTCGACGACTTTGTCTTCATGTGCTTCTTCGTGGGGAATGACTTTTTACCGCACATGCCGACGCTCGAGATCAGAGAGGTGCGCAGCGGTGGTATGCGGTGTGGTGTCTCTTTCTCGTCTTGGTGTTGGTGAGACCGGTGTTGGCATGTTGTAAGAGGGTGCTGGACGATTTTGTCTTCATGTGCTTCTTCGTGGGGAATGACTTTCTGCCGCACATGCCCACTCTCGAGATCAGAGAGGTAAGTTGTGGTGGGAGGAGGATGGTAGACCCGGTCTTGGTGGTGTGAGTTGAACACGTGCTGTGCTGGCTGGCATGTTCAGTCAGTTGCTCTTTCAGGCACCTCAACGGTCCCTGTGATGTGACGCCCATGTCTCCCCACGGTGCAAGCTCATGTCTCCCCACCCCACCGTGTGTGTGGATGCATTTTCCATTTCGCATGTGTGTGTGTGTGTGTGTGTGTGTGTGTGTGTGTGTGTGTGTGTGTGTGTGTGTGTGTGTGTGCATGTCCACAGGGTGCCATCAACCTCCTGGTGTCAATCTACCGCCGCGAGTTCGCCAACCTGGGAGGCTACCTCACAGAGAACGGCGAGGTGAGTCGTGGCAGTGGCAATGGCAGTAGCGGTAGCCATGGGTGGGTCTGTGTGTGCATGTCCACAGGGTGCCATCAACCTCCTGGTGTCAATCTACCGCCGCGAGTTTGCCAACCTGGGAGGCAGTGGCAGCGGCAGTGGGTGTGGCAGTGGGTGTGGCAGTGGGTGCGGCAGTGGCAGTGTCAGTGTCAGTGTCAGTGGCAGTGGCAGTGTCAGTGTCAGTGTCAGTGGCAGTGGCAGTGTCAGTGGCAGTGGCAGTGTCAGTGGCAGTGGCAGTGGCAGTGGCAGTGTCAGTGGCAGTGGCAGTGTCAGTGGCAGTGGCAGTGGCAGTGTCAGTGGCAGTGGCAGTGGCAGTGGCAGTGTCAGTGGCAGTGGCAGTGGCAGTGGCAGTGTCAGTGGCAGTGGCAGTGGCAGTGGCAGTGGCAGTGTCAGTGGCAGTGGCAGTGTCAGTGGCAGTGGCAGTGTCAGTGGCTTTGGCAGTGTCAGTGGCAGTGGCAGTGGCAGTGTCAGTGGCAGTGGCAGTGTCAGTGGCAGTGTCAGTGGCAGTGGCAGTGTCAGTGGCAGTGGCAGTGTCAGTGGCAGTGGCAGTGGCAGTGTCAGTGGCAGTGTCAGTGGCAGTGGCAGTGGCAGTGGCAGTGGCAGTGTCAGTGGCAGTGGCAGTGTCAGTGGCAGTGGCAGTGGCAGTGTCAGTGGCAGTGGCAGTGGCAGTGGCAGTGGCAGTGGCAGTGGCAGTGGCAGTGGCAGTGGCAGTGTCAGTGGCAGTGGCAGTGGCAGTGGCAGTGGCAGTGTCAGTGGCAGTGGCAGTGGCAGTGGCAGTGGCAGTGGCAGTGGCAGTGGCAGTGTCAGTGGCAGTGGCAGTGTCAGTGGCAGTGGCAGTGGCAGTGGCAGTGGCAGTGGCAGTGGCAGTGGCAGTGGCAGTGGCAGTGGCAGTGGCAGTGGCAGTGGCAGTGTCAGTGGCAGTGGCAGTGTCAGTGGCAGTGGCAGTGGCAGTGGCAGTGGCAGTGGCAGTGGCAGTGGCAGTGGCAGTGGCAGTGGCAGTGGCAGTGGCAGTGGCAGTGTCAGTGGCAGTGGCAGTGGCAGTGGCAGTGGCAGTGGCAGTGGCAGTGGCAGTGGCAGTGGCAGTGGCAGTGGCAGTGGCAGTGGCAGTGGCAGTGGCAGTGGCAGTGGCAGTGGCAGTGGCAGTGGCAGTGGCAGTGGCAGTGGCAGTGGCAGTGGCAGTGGCAGTGGCAGTGGCAGTGGCAGTGGCAGTGGCAGTGGCAGTGGCAGTGGCAGTGGCAGTGGCAGTGGCAGTGGCAGTGGCAGTGTGTATAACCCCGAACACAAGAGATGTACCATCTCGCATTCGCTGGTGTTCCAATCCAACCCTCAACTTGCTTCTCCCCATGTGCGGCTGTGGCCTCTCGCTTTCTACCGGAGCTCCCATCCACTCGCCCACCTCCGTTTCCTCGCCCCACTTTCCCCTCCCTTCCCTACCCTCCCGCAACCCCCCACCTCCCCTCTCTCCCCTTTCTCCCGTTTCTCTCCCAGGTGGATCTGCGGCGAGTGGAGCATTTCATCCAGGCTGTGGCAGTGCACGAGCAGTCCATCTTCATGAAGCGCGCCCGCATCCACCAGGTAAGCTGCACGGCGGTGCGTGGTGCAGGGTGCATGGTGCATAAGGCATGGGGCATGGGGCATGGTGCATCATGCATTACATGTGGCATTTACACTATTGTCCAATTTTATGAAGCGCACTCACCAGGCTATCACACAGGCTGAGCGTGACTAGCATGCCATGCTTGCACCAAGCCGGCTCCTTCAAAAATGAGAGCACTGAGTTGAACACAATCCACAGCGCGGCACTGGCAGGCCGGTGAGAGGGAAGAGTGTGAGGGAAGAGTGTGAGGCTGCGAGGTGCGGGCAGCAAGGTGACGAGTGGTGGTGTGAGCAGTGGATATGGAGCATTCGTCACGGGGCTCGTGCGTGGTTCATGGAGCAAGCTTTATGAAGCCCATGCAGTGCAGGTTCCATGGTGCACTCACCGCTATTTCTCGCTGCCGTGTGTGTTGCCATGGGGCCATGGGCATGACCATGCACTTCATGATTTGCATGGGTTATGGTATGGCATGGCGCGTGGTGCATGGCATGTGATGTCTATGTGCATGTGCGTGGCTCTTGGTGCATGTGTGCGCTGCGTGTGTGGCACATGGCACATGAGCAGAGGCAGAAGGAGAGGAGGGTGCGAGACAGGCAGCAGAAGGAACGCAATCAGTACCGCAAGGGAGACGAGGCCGCCCCCAACGTGCCCTCATCCGCCCTGCAGCCAGTACGTGCCCTTGCATCTGCCAGCGTTGCAGCAGCCAAAGCACTTGGGAGGGTTGTGGAGCCGCAGCAGTTGCAAGCCGTTGGCTCCACTCACTCGCCTGTTCAGGATGCTCGTCATCTCCCACTGATTGCACTTATTGCACTGATTGCCCTTGGTCTCGCTTGCCCCTCCCCTCACATGTCCCATATGCTCCTCCATGCCTCTCCTCTCCCTCCCCTTCCCCCGGCCCCCTCTTTCCTCACAACAACAGCTGTCAGCATCACAGCAGCCAATGCATCATGGGGGGCAGCACAGCCGCAGCGACGTGAACAGCCCTGTTCCTCTATGTCTCCCTAAACCCTCTCTTCCTCCCCACTCCCCCCCCCCCCCCTCCCAATCTACCACTCTGCAGGTGCCAGCATCGCAGCAGCCAACACACCAGGGGGTGCTGCACAGCCGCAGCGACATGCATAGTGGCTCCCGCTTCCACCACCACCGCTGCTGCTGCTGCTGCCGCTGTCTCTTCACACCCCCCCCTTTTCCCCCCTTGCTACCCACCTCCCCACCTTGCAGCTGCCAGCGTCACAGCAGCCAACACACCACGGAGGACCCTGCAGCCGCAGCGACATTTGTAGTTCCTCCTGCAACTCCTTTGCCCTCCTCGCCACTTCACACGTTCCCCGTCCCCTGATTCTCAATGTTTCTCTATCTCCTCTTCCCAATTCCCCCCTTCCCCTGACAGCTGCCAGCATCACAGCAGCCAACGCACCACGGAGGACTGTACAGCCGCAGCGACATGAACCCTGCCTCTCGCAACTCCTTCGCCCTCCTCGCCACGCCGCTCGCCAACCCCAATGCTGCTGCTGCCAACGGGTCAGCGGGGAGCAACCAGGCGGCTGCTGCTGCGCTGCGCGCCAAGCTGGCAGGCCACGCCACGTCAGCATCGTCGGCCGACCCGGCTGCGCCACCTGTAACGAAGATGATGCGTGTGGATGGTGCTGCTGGCGCTGCTGCTGCTGCCGCCGCAGGAGGGAGAGAGGTTGGCCGATCGGCCCTGGTGGGAAAGGGTAGAGAAGGAAGGTTAGAGAATGATGAGAAGAGTGAGAAGGTTGAGAAGGGTAGGGAGGGGTACAGAAGGTAGGGAAGGTGAGGGAAGGGTAGAGAAAGTAGGGAAGGTGAGGGAAGGGTAGAGAAAGTAGGGAAGGTGAGGGAAGGGTAGAGAAGGTTAGAGATGGGTAGGGAAGGGTAGGGGAGAGTAGGGAGTGGTGGTAGGTTTAGTAGAGGGAGCTGTGCGAGAAGTGATGGTCGAAAGGTGGCATGGGGATAGTGGACTAGCAAAGTCGCTCCACCAGTAGTGCATGCACTGCGCGTCCATCTTGTGCTGCTCGCTGGGCGTGCTCATGTTTGCCTGCCTGCCTTCCTGCCTTCGTTTTACCAGTTCTCATGTGTGCTGCATCAATAGAGCGCACCTGCCATGTGCCCGCCATGCCATGTGCCTGCCATGTGATGTGCCTGCCAGCCATGCCATGTGCCCGCCATGCCATGTGCCTGCCATGTGATGTGCCTGCCAGCCATGCCATGTGCCCGCCATGCCATGTGCCTGCCATGTGATGTGCCTGCCAGCCATGCCATGTGCCCGCCATGCCATGTGCCTGCCATGTGATGTGCCTGCCAGCCATACCATGTGCCCGCCATGCCATGTGCCTGCCATGTGATGTGCCTGCCATCCATGCCATGTGCCCGCCACGTGCCCGCCCACGCGACCTCCTTTTTCTTGCCTGCTTTGTTCATGCATGCTGCGGCTATCTTTCCGCCATTTTTATATGCCGATTTCTGCCTCCTTTTCCTCCCCAGGGTGTGGTTTCATTATTTTAGGAGGCTTAATACATTTTTGTCCCATCATTGCTTTGTTCTTCCTCCCACTTCAGCCTCACACACTCATTACGCCTCTTTCTGCTGTCTTCCCATGCCCTCCCTGCCCCACGTTGCCCTCCCTGCCCCACGTTGCCCTCCCTGCCCCGCGTTGCCCTTCCTGCCCCGTGCTACCCTCCCTGCCTGGCCCACACTGCCCTGTGCTCACCCATGCAGGAGGAGGAGGAGGAGGATCTGCAGGAGGAGCTCAAGCTCAAGCTCAAGTCCGCGCTCAAGGACAAATCAGACCTGTTTGCCGGGGGCAAGGAGCCGGATGACGAGGTGAGGAATAGAGCCATGGTAAGGTATGTATATAGTTGGCGAGAGGGGAGGGATGGGGGAGAGAGGAGCTCAAAATGAAGCTAAAGACGGACCTTTTTGCTGGGGGCAAGGTGCCCGATGATGAGGTGAGATGGGTGGTGTGCTGTGCAAGAAGAGGGGGGGGGGGGGGGGGGGGGGGGGGGGGGGAGTGGAGTGGAAGGAGCGGTACTGCCAGCAGAAGTGGTCGGTGAAGTCCCTCTTTCACCATCTCCCTGCCTCTCTCTGCCTCTTCCTGCCATGATCTTACCTTATCTCATCACATCTCATCACCCCATCCCATTGCATGCATGGATCTGGCTGGGCGACTGGGGGTGGAAGGATCGGTGTTACCGTGTTACCAGCAGAGGTGGTCAGCCAGTACCTTGTGCCTGATCTCATATCATCTCATCTCGTCCCCCCTTGTCATGCATGCATCACCCAATCGCATTGCATGTTGACAGATCCGACGGGGCAACGAAGGGTGGAAGTAGCGCTACTACCAGCAGAGGTGGTCGATCAGGACCCTGTCTCTCATATCACATTATGATTATCTCATCATCCCTTGTCATGCATGCATTGCCCCGTGTCATGCATCAGATCCGGCTGGGTGACGACGGGTGGAAGGAACGCTACTACCAGCAGAAGTTTGGAGTGACGTCGTATGAGGAGCAGGAGCGCGTTCGTCAGGATGTGGTCAGTACCCTCGGGCTCACCGCACCGCACTCCACTCCGCCTCACTGCACTCCTCCTCACTGCACTATGCCCCACTGTATTCCGCCTCACTGCACGACACCTCACCGCACTCGGGTTCACCACGCACTCACACTGCCCGTTCTGTCTCTTTCCATCTGCTCCAGCTTGTGGAGAGAGTTTATGGTGGCTCATGGGATACTGCTTCCAAGGCCCTCCTCCCTCTCACACTAACACATAAAGTCCCCCAGATCTCTCTTGCTATCAAATCTCTCTTACTTGCTATCAAATCTCTCTTACTTGCTATCAAATCTCCACTTTTGGATCTCTGCCTCTCAGAATCATTTTTTTGCTTTCCCATGCTCGCACGATTAACTCGACCCTTGCTGCCTCCAATCCTCCCTCCCGCAGATTCTAAAGTTTGTGAGGAGAACAGCCGTAAAGAGAGAAAGAGGGGGTTGAGTTAGGGTACGGCCCTAAAGAGAGAAAGAGGGAGTTGAGTTAGGGTACAGCCGTAAAGAGAGAAAGAGGGGGTTGAGTTAGGGTACAGCCGTAAAGAGAGAAAGAGGGGGTTGAGTTAGGGTGCAGCCGTAAAGAGAGAAAGAGGGGGTTGAGTTAGGGTGCAGCCGTAAAGAGAGAAAGAGGGGGTTGAGTTAGGGTCTTACTGGGCTATGCTGGGTCATTCGGTATTACTACAACGGCTGTACTCCGACTCACTCAACCCCCTCTTTCTCTCTTTTGCCGCGCACACCCAACCCTTCCGCCTGTGCCCATCGCTTCTGCAGGTGCTCAAGTTTGTGGAGGGTCTATGCTGGGTCATGAGATATTACTACCAGGGCGTGTGCTCTTGGAACTGGTGAGATTAAGCTAAGGTGTATTATTACCTGGGTGGTGATGGATGCTGGGTGGTGCAGAGTGATGTATTACTACCAGGGCGTGTGCTCTTGGAACTGGTAAGATGTGGCTAGGTTGAATCGGTGACAGGGAGGTACCACTGGGTAGTGATGGGTGTGGCGGGCTGGTGGAGATTGGTACTGATGGTTTGTGCGAGGGTCTCTTCTGGGTCATGTGGGACTGCTGGGTGATGCGATATTACTACCAGGGCGTGTGCTCATGGAACTGGTGAGAGCAAGGCGTAGTGGTGGGTGGTGGGTGGTGCTGTGGGATGATGTATTGCTACCAGGGCTTGTGCTCGTGGAACCGGTGAGGCCTGCTGGTGGCTAGATTGACCAGGTGAAAGGAGTGCAGTGATGTGGTTTGTGCAAGGGCTTATTCTGGGTTGCATGGTAGTGCTGCTGGGCCATGTGGTAGTGCTGTGCTGTGTCACAAACCTAGCAACTGTCTCCTCACATACCCCCCTCCCCCAGGTACTACCCGTACCACTATGCACCGTTTGCATCTGATTTGGTGCGCCTGGACGAGTTGGAGATTCACTTCTTTCTCGGCCGCCCCTTCAAGCCCTTTGATCAGCTCATGGGCGTGCTGCCCGCCGCCAGGTATGGTGCAGTGCGGTGGAGTGTGGCCATGTGCGGTGTTATGCAGTGGCGTGTGGTACTGTGTGTTGTGACAATGTGCGCCTGGACGAGTTGGAGATTCACTTCTTCCTCGGCCGCCCCTTCAAGTCCTTCGACCAGCTCATGGGCGTGCTGCCTGCGGCTAGGTACGGTGCAGTGCGGTGGAGTGCGGTTCAGGTGTGGTATCATGTGGTGAGGTGCAGTGCAGTGTGGTTGTGTGCGGTGGAGTGCGGTGTTGTGTGTTGTGGTCAACTGGTGAGCCTGGACAAGCTGAAGATCCACTTCTCCCTCCTCGATCCCCTTTGAGACTAAAACTCAAAACCTTTTTCACTCCTTCCTCTCTCCCCTCTCTCCCCTGCTCCACACATCAGTTCCGGTGCGCTGCCAACAGCGTATCGCAAGCTCATGTCGGACCCAGCCTCGCCCATCGTTGACTTCTACCCCACTGGTACACGCCTCGTTGCATGCATGCCACGCCTGCCACGCCTGCCACACCATGCCACGCCATGCCATGCCTGCCATGTCATGCCACGCCATGCCACGCCTGCCACACCATGCCATGCCATGCCATGCCACGCCATGCCATGCCATGTCACGCCATGCCATGCCATGCCACGCCATGCCATGCCATGCCATGCCATGCCACGCCATGCCACGCCTGCCACACCATGCCATGCCATGCCACGCCATGCCATGCCATGCCACGCCATGCCATGCCATGCCATGCCATCCATACGTGGTCCGTCACCACTTGCATGCCATGCTTTCGCTGCATCCGTCCATGCATGCATGCATGCATCAATCGCATTGTCTGATTTCTCTGCTTGCCCTCGCTTCCTCCCCTCTCTGCCTCACCAGTCTGAGTGCGCACAGACATGCCGAACACGACTTTGTTCGCATTTTTATCTGCACTTGATCACAGCTTCTTCCTCCTCTACCTCTCCTTCCCCTCATCATCCCCTTCCCTCCCCCACCCCCCACCACCCCCCCCCCCCCCCCCCCTCGTCGCGCTCCCCCGTCCCCCGGCCTTTCCACTCTCTTCTCCGCCTGCACAGATTTCAGTGTTGACATGAATGGCAAGCGCTTTGCTTGGCAGGTCAGTTTCCCCGCCTCTCTACACACACTCCCAGTCTCACACTCGTTCACCCTTGTCCTTTCTCACCCTTTCCCGCCTGCAGTCACACCACCTTCTTCCTTTCGTCTGCCTGGCTTTCTGTTTCATTCTCTCCTCGTCTCCCCGACTGTCCCTCACTCCTTCAACCTTTTCCCATCAGCTCGTGGCTTGTAAAGGGTTGAGGCGTGGCGTCACTGAATTCTAGAGCATCTCGGGTCATGTGTGAAGCATCTTTGCTGCTGCACTGCACAGATGCCATGTGTGTCTAGGGCCGTACCATACCAAGGATCCCATCCCATGCATGTCATGCAGCAGCCTCCTTCATTCATAATCCAGCACCCCGTCTCATGCCCGCACTGCACTATGCCATGCCCATGTGCCGTACCCATGTGCCGTGCCCATGTGCCATGCGCAAACTCGCCATGCCACTCATGTCCCATGTCCTTGCGCACCACTCCTCACCATCCTTGTCCAGGGAGTGGCGTTGCTGCCGTTCATCGATGAAGACCGACTGCTAGAGGCCATCAAGCAAGTCGAGTCCACTCTCACGGTGAGTCCCAATTCAAGGAGCACCGTTTGTAATTGAAGCATGAAACCATGTCTGTCTGTCAAGCAAGTCGAGCCCACTCAGGTTCCATGCCACCTGCCCTCACTGTGACGGCGCGTACCCAAATACCCGCCACCGCGTGCTTTTGTGTTTCCAACTCCACCCATTCTCCTGTAATGGGAGCAATGTTGCAACGTGCCTCGTTGTGTTGTGTCACATGCTATTTCAACCATCCACCCCCCCCACAGCCCGAGGATAGGAGGCGCAACAGCCAGCTGTGCAAGCTCATGCACTTCTCCTTAAGATACCCGCCAGCAACCCCAGCATGTCCTCACGTGCTCATAACCTGCATGCCTCTTGCGTGAACCATTCACCCACCCTCACAGCCGGAGGAGAGGAGGCGCAACAGCCAGCTGTGCGAGCTGATGTACTTCTCATCGGGGTACCCACTGGCAAAGACGGTGTGGGAGATGATGGGCAAGTGGGGGCAGCTCGATGCCAAGGCGCGCGCCCACAAGAAGCACGCTATCGACCCCTCCCTCAGGTATACCTCCCTCAGGTATACATTCCTCAGGTATACCTCCCTCAGGTATACCTCCCTCAGGTATACCTCCCTCGGGTATACCTCCCTCAGGTATACCTCCCTCGAGTATACCTCCCTCGGGTATACCTCCCTCAGGTATACCTCCCTCAGGTATACCTCCCTCGGGTATACCTCCCTCGGGTATACCTCCCTCGGGTATACCTCCCTCAGGTATACCCCCCTCAGCCTTCTCTCTCTCTTTCTTCCCTTCCTTGTGTCTCTGCAACCAGCGATGGAATGAACCGCTATCTATCCAGTGCTATCTAGTGCTCTGTGCGGCCGCCCCCGCTCTGCCCATGCTGCTGCAACCAGTCACACACATCTCAAAAGACGTTCCTCATTTTTCCCCCTTTCCTTGCCTTCCTCCTGCTTCTGCCCCTGCCCCCGCCCCTGCCCCCGCCCCTGCCCCTGCCCCTGCCCTGCCCTGCCCTGCCCTGCCCTACCCTGCCCTGCCCTGCCCTGCCCTGCCCTGCCCTGCCCTGCCCTGCCCTGCCCGTGCCCCTATTCCTCTCCTACCCCCCCCCTGGGTTGCCGTGCAAGGGGGAGTGGCTCTATCAGCGATGGTATGAACGGCTACCTAGTCTTGTGTGACGGCCAGCCCTGCCCGCCCATGCTGCGCGCGCCCATGTCGGGCTTCGAGACCATCACCAGCAACCAAGTCATGTGAGCTGCTGTTTTGTGAGATGGCAATTATGTTGTGCAAGCGCCCGTGTGTGAGCGGGCAATTGCTGTGAGCGGGCAATTGCTGTGAGCTGGCAATTGCTGTGAGCTGGCAATTGCTGTGAGCTGGCAGTTCAGGTCGTGTGACTTTGCCCGCCCATGCTGCTTGCCCCCATGTCGCGATTTGAGGCCATCACCAGCAACCAAGGCATGTGAGCTGGCAGCCAAGGCTGTCAGGAAGAAATAATGCGAGTTGGCAGTTTATGCATGTGAGCCAGCATATCAACCAGGCAGCAGCAAGGCTGCAACAAGGATACCATCTCTGATGCTGCATTATGGTTCTGCACGCATAACTGCTTTCTTGATCGCCATTGATCTTATCACTCTCGTCATCCCTTCTCTCCTGCACTTACCCGTCCCTTCCACTTCATCTCGCATCTCTGCAACTCTGCATGCCCTCCCTCACACCCGCTTCTCTCCCCCATCCCTCCGCGCCTCCCCCCAAAACACAAACTACTTTCTGCACCCTCGCGCCAGCTGTTCAAGAATCCCGACTTCCATTGCCACATTCTCCCCACCTCTTACCGTACCTCTGCAACTCCCCCTCCCCCCCCCACCCCCTCCTTTCCCCCACCCCCCTATACTGCCCTGCCCCCAACCACCATATCAACTTCAGCTGTGTGGTTTACAAGAACCCAGACTTTCATCGCCACATCTGCCAGACTTGTCTGCACCTCTTACCGTATCGCTGCATCCCTCCCTCCCTCCCACCTTCACCAACCCCTGCACCTCACCCTCTCGCCAGCTGTGTGGTCTACAAGAACCCAGACTTCCATCGCCACATCTGCCGCCCGCCAGCTGGCGCCGTCTACCCCCCCAAGGCATGTATCTGCCGCCCATGGCATCTATCTGCCGCCCATAGCATGCACCTGCCGCCCATAGCATGTATCCGCCGTTTTCCCTCTGCTCTCTCCCTCCTGCTCTGTGCTTCTGATCGTATGGTATCAGAGCAAGACATTAAGTCTGCGCTGCTGTGGCACCAAGGCATTCAGTTGATTCTCCACACTTTTCTGTGCTCCCTCTCTGCCCGCACCCACCCTCACTCCCCTTCCCACCCACCCCCCGTTTCTCCCCTTCTTGCCCGGCTGCTTCCTATTCTTTCTTATCTGGCCCTTTTGCTCCTGCCTGTTCCGCTCATTAGTTGGTATCAGAGCAGGACATCAAGTCGGAGCCGCTGTGGCACCAAGGTATGCGGTTGGCACCTCAACACCTCCCCGTGCTCCCTGCTCTCCCCACCCCCTGCTACCCCCGCCCCGCTTGCGTGCTGCGCCCACCAGTTGGTATCAGAGCAGGACATCAAGTCGGAGCCGCTGTGGCATGAGGACACGTGGGGGCGGCGACGGCCGCAGATACAGGACAGGTGCGTGTGCTGGGTGCATGCCACACGTGTGCTAGGCGTGTGCCGAGCGTGTGCTGGCTGCGTGCCGGCGTGTTCTGGGCGTGTGCTGACCGTGTGCTGAGCATGTGCCAGGCGTGTGCGAAATGTGTTCTGGGCGTGTGCTGGGCGTGTGTTCCGGGCGTGTGCTGGGCGTGTGCTGGGCGTGTGTTCCGGGCGTGTGCTTGCAAGCACTTCACTTCATCAAATTCCTCTCCTGGACAAATTTACACCTCGCTTCCTGTCCTCCTCATTCCTTTCTCTTGCCCCGTGTCTCCTCCTACTGTTACCTCACCCCCATCTCCTCACTTTCCTCACCCTTCTCTTTTCCCTGCCCTCCCTCCCTCCCCCTCCCCCACCCCACTCCCCCCCCCCCCCCGTTCTTCCCAGGCGGCCAGTGCAGAACGCCATAGGAGGTCCTGCCCTAGGGGCGGCAGCCACTCGTCTGCTTCTCAACTCTCTCGGCGCGGCCGGGCGGCAGGGTGGGGCGGCAGCCGCCCAGCTGCGGGAAGCGCAGCAGCGGCTGAGTCACATGGGCACTGCCGGCCCTGTGCCCCTGCCTGTTCCTCTAGCAGGCGGCATTCTCCCCGTACAGTCACCCTACAGCCAGGCCGCCCCTTATAGTCACACTCATGTGGGCGGATACAGTCACGGGCAAACGGGGGGGTACAGTGCAGTATCGGCAGACCCTAGGGTTGCTGCTTATGGGGGGAAAGCAGGGGCGTATGGGCAACCACAGCAGCAGCAGCAGCAGCAGCAGCAGCAGCAGCAGCAGCGGCAGCAGCAGCAGCCGCAGCAGCAACAGCAGCAGCAGGGGTATGGATATCGGGGGGGACAGGCTGTATACCAGGTCCAGCAGCAGGCACAGGGGGTGTATTATCAGCAGCAGCAACAGCAGCAGCAAGGGGGGTATGGTGGGAATGTGTGGGTGAGGCCTGGTAGTGGAGCAGGTACACAAGCGGCACCACAAGTGGCAGGACAAGCGGCAGGGGGGTATGGTGGACGAGGGGGGTACGGGCAAGCAGGGGGGTACGGGAGAGGAGGGTATGGGGCGGGGCAACAGGGGTATGGGGGGGGTCAGCAGCAGGGGTATGGGGGCCAACAGGGACGGGGGTACGGGCAGCAAGGGGGAGGGTATGGGCAGGGCAGGGGAGGGCAATACGGCCAAAGTAGGCGCTGATGCTGATGCGGAGGTGAGATGCATTGAGAAAAAGGCAGCTCTCCAGAAAATGTGGCGGTTCTCTTAAATATATGTACATGCTGTTCACTCTTCAATCAAATACTTGTCATCGTGCCTGATTACGCAGTGCGAGAGGAAGAAATGGGTTATCGTCGTCAGGCTTCAGTTTTGTTGAGAATGATTTAATTGCAATTGTGATGCTTCGCATCGAAGTATCTAGCCTGCACAGTAAAACTTTAGCTGTTAAAATGAAATCAAGCACGTGAGTGTTTTCTTCAATCGTTATAGTCTATGGTGGAGCAGTCATTTGGCAAACACTTGTGGTCAGTTTGTACGAAACTGGTCGAGTCGGGCGAGAGTTCCGTAACAGTCGTGAGTGTCGATTGGCGAACTCTCAGACGAACCTCAAAAGGCTGAAGGCAATGAGCCCATAAATCGTCGTCGTCTGGGGCTTCGCTTAGCGGTCATTTTAGTCGCACCATGGCAGAGGACGACGGTTTCCGCCACTCTTACCTGCAGACCTCCCCGAACATCACAATCCACTTCGTGGAGGCCGGCCCGCCAACCGGCCAACTGGTTGGTCTACCTGCTGCTCCTTAGCTTCCTTTCCCCTCCTCCCCCAAGCGCACCTCCACATCGCACTCCACCTATGGCTCTTCCGCTCGATTATTAGTCTTCTGGTTTTCGTGATGTTTTGTGGAGGTGTCACTTAGTGCCAGGTCTGGTGTAGGTTTTCCTTGAATAGAATCTCCTTAGCTTCCGTTTCGCGGTCGCTTTCATGCTCTTCTTCTAACGCTTGGTTTTCGTCCGCTCATTGTCGCAACGCGTGCGTGCGCTCGTGCAGGTGGTGCTGCTGCACGGATTCCCTGAGTTCTGGAACACGTGGCACAAGCAGATTGGTCCGCTAGCCGAAGCAGGCTTTCGCGTCGTCGTTCCGGACCTACGAGGGTTTGGCGACTCTTCGCGGCCGGCTGGAATCGCGTCGTACAGTCGCCAGCATGTCTGCGCTGACGTGGCGTCGCTCATCTCGCACTGCCTTTCCCGTGCGACAGCTGCTGCCCCGACAGGCGCTGGCGATGCCGCCGCTACGAATCGCAGCAGCAGCAGCGCAGTCGCTGATGATTGTCGCACGTCGCCGGAAACAACGCTGGGCGAAACTGGCCTGCGACAACGAAGCAGCGAGCGCAGTGAAGAAATAAGAAAAGCTGACGTGGTGAGTATTGTAGCGAACGGCGAATGGGCGAAGTGCCAATGGAGCGCTCACAGCGTGGGCCATGGACCGTGCTCACCGCATCCGCTGTGTCAACCCCATTCCTCAGCCCCCCACAATCCGCCTGCCGTATTCTTCAACCCCCCATCATGCCATCATCCCGCATACCTCACTCCCCCCCCCCCCCCGCCCCCCCTTGCATACGACCAGGTGGGGCACGGGTGGGGGGCGTTCACAGCGTGGGCCACGGCAATGGATGAATCATCCGCACCTCGTGCGTCGCGTGGCAGTGCTCTGTGGGCCGCACCCCTTTGTCTTCCATCGCTGCCTGTCGCTCTGTGCCATGGGGCCATGGACGATGCGTACCTTGCTCTGAGATGTCTCAAGCCGCTACCCATTTCTCACCCCCTCCGAAATTTTGCAACCAGATCGGGCACGGGTGGGGCGCGTTCACAGCGTGGGCCATGGCAATGGACCATCCGCACCTCATCCGCCGCGTGGCAGTGCTCTGTGGGCCGCATCCCTTGGTCTTCCGCCGCTCCCTGTCGCTTCGAGAGCCCCTCACACTGCTGCGATACTTCTATTGGTGTGAGTGCTGCTCACATGGCCTGTAGGGGGTAGCTATTCTCCACACTCCTTGCAGTGCCCGGCTTCCCTCTCTGGTCCGCACACCCCTTTGTCTTCCGCTGCTGCCTGTCCCTCTGGGAGCCCCTCACGATGCTGCGCTACTTCTGCTGGTGTAAGTGCCACTCGTATGCCCAGTAGGGGAAGAGAAATGACTGCCATGCTCTGCCATGCACTGCTCTGCGCTGCTTCCCTCTGTGGGCCACACCCTCTCGTCCTCTGCCGCTGCCTGTCCCTCTGGGAGCCCCTCACGCTGCTGCGCTACTTCTGCTGGTGTGGGTCTTCTTGCTTTACCGTGCCAGTCCATGCCATACCATGCCATGGCTTGACTTGCCGTGCCATACCATGCCATGGCTTGACTTGCCGTGCCATACCATGCCATGGCTTGACTTGCCGTGCCATACCATGCCATGGCTTGACTTGCCGTGCCATACCATGCCATGGCTTGACTTGCCGTGCCATACCATGCCATGGCTCGACTTGCCGTGCCATACCATGCCATGGCTTGACTTGCCGTGCCATACCATGCCATGGCTTGACTTGCCGTGCCATACCATGCCATGGCTTGACTTGCCGTGCCATACCATGCCATGGCTTGACTTGCCGTGCCATACCATGCCATGGCTTGACTTGCCGTGCCATACCATGCCATGGCTTGACTTGCCGTGCCATACCATGCCATGGCTTGACTTGCCGTGCCATACCATGCCATGGCTTGACTTGCCGTGCCATACCATGCCATGGCTTGACTTGCCGTGCCATACCATGCCGTGGCTTGACTTGCCGTGCCATACCATGCCATGGCTTGACTTGCCGTGCCATACCATGCCATGGCTTGACTTGCCGTGCCATACCATGCCATGGCTTGACTTGCCGTGCCATACCATGCCATGGCTTGACTTGCCGTGCCATACCATGCCATGGCTTGACTTGCCGTGCCATACCATGCCATGGCTTGACTTGCCATGCCATACCATGCCATTGCTTGCCGTGCCATGCCATGCCGTGGCTTGGCTTGCCATGCCGTGCCATGCCATTCTACACCAATGGTTGCACCTCTGCAAAGACCACCGATGCATCGCACATCCATTCCGGTCGCTCACTGCTTCTCAATGCCCACCCACCCACTGCTCTCGAACATCCATCCCCGCCCCGCGCCGCACCCGTTCCCCCCATCCCGCCCTGCAGTCCTCTTCCTCGTGCCTTGGCTGCCCGAATGGCTTCTGCGGCGCAACAAGTGAGCCATACATGCCGAGCCAAGCACATGCCGAGCCAAGCACATGCCGAGCCAAGCACATGCCGAGCCAAGCACATGCCGAGCCAAGCACATGCCGAACCAAGCACATGCCGAGCCAAGCACATGCCGAGCCAAGCACATGCCGAGCCAAGCACATGCCGAGCCAACCACATGCCGAGCCACGCACATGGCGAGCCGCGCATACCTGTGCGGCACAGCATGTACCCATCGCTCTCTCACATGCCATGGCGTCCACCCAAGCGTCTGCCTTGTTCTGTTACCAAGCCTTTCTGCCATCTGGCCCTCATAACCCCATGCTCCCATGTCGTCTCTCCCTCCGTCGTATCCGCCTCTCCCACCTCTCTCCACCTCTCTCCACATCTCTCCCTAGCTGTGCAGCTCTGCAGCGTGTGTATGTATCGCGGCGAGCCACTGCAACCTCTGCCGCCTGCCCTTGTTCCACCTTGCCTTATCCACCGCACCCCACCTCTCTCCACATTCCTCCCCCCACCGCAGCTGTGCAGCTCTGCAGCGAGTGTACCGCGATGAGCCACTAAACCCACTGCCTCCTGCCCTTGTGCCACCTTGCCTTGTCCACCGTACCCCAGCTCTCTACACCTCTCTCCACACCTCTCTCCCCCCCCCCCCCAGCTGTGCAGCTCTGAAGCGAGTGTACCGCGATGAGCCGCTAAGCCCGCTGCCTCCTGCCCTCCTGCACAGGTGTGGTGATGGGTGGGAGGGATGGGGTTAGTGCGTTGAGAGGAGGCATGTGAGGGATGAGGGTAGATCACCTATGAGGCGCCTCAAAAGGCCCTTGCATGTTGCAACCACTGCCTCCGGCTCCCGCCCTCGTGCAGAGGTGCAGTGATGGGTGGGAGGGAATGGGGAGAGGGGTGAGGAAGAAGCAGTGATGCCCCTCTGCCCATGTGTCAAGGTGCAGTGGAAAGAGGAGGGCATGGGAGAGATGTGAGGGGGGATAGGGGTGGGGGTGGGGTAGAGAGAGGGCAGGGAAAGGTGGAGAGACGAGGGGGTGGAGGAAAATAAACGAGGTCCTTAAACCCCATCGCAGGAACGAGGTCCGAGGCCTGTGTGAACGAGGCAGGAAGAGCAGAAATGACATGTCGGTTGGTGCCTCCTTCACTCCTCCCACTTTTCCTTCCTCACCACAATTACATGTCCTTACGAGCCACTGCTGTGCGAGCGAGCATGTCCTTATTACAGACATGCGTTCCTCTACCCTGTTCCACATGCCATGTGTGCCTACCTGCGATTCTCACATGCCAGCGCCGTGTGCTCATACACTCCCTCCACCCCACACTCCCCCTGCCCCACCTCTCTTCCCCTCATCCATTTCCTGCTGACTCTTCCTGCAGTCATGTTGAAGCGTTCTCCACCAATGGCGCGCTGACGGCTGGCATCTCGTACCACAGGGCGTTCCTCAGGGGGCTGTGGCGGTTCGGCCGCCCGGTACCCGTGCCGCACAGGGTGCTCGTGTTGTGGGCGGGAAAGGACAAATACGCCCGCCCGCACATGGCACAGCCACCTCCCGCCCTTGTGCCCAACGCGCAAGTGGTGCATTTTCCCGAGGTGAGGTGCACACCGTTCTCTTCCCGACCTGCTCACTCTTAATTATGAGGTGCACAAACCACCACCACTCTTCTAAGTACTGTACTGAATACGCTGTTCTTCCAGAGCTGCTCTCACCGCCACCACCACCACGGCATGCATGCATGCTGCGCTTTCCGATGTACGTGGATGTACGTGCATGCAGCACCGCTCCCTTCCAATGCACACGCTGCCCCTCCTCGTCACCCTCTCCCTGGTTGTTGCACTCATCCGTCCACCATGGCTTCCTCTTCTCTCTCTTCTGGCGTAACATGCTGATTCTCGCCCGACGTTTTTGCCTGCCTATGTTTCTGCCGGTTGCTCCTGTGTGTGTTTGCTGTGCAGCTGACATATTGGATGGTGTGGGATGATCCAAACCAAGTGAATCACCACTTAATTTCATTCTTGTCATCAAATGATACTGGTAATGGAAAAACAACGTTGTGATCAGAGTTGGGCTGGGTTCCACTATGACGAAGTAACGTCTCGTTGTCCGTTTGTGTATCTGGTTCAAATTCTTGGTATAAACCATGCTTTAGCTGTTGCCATTCCTGGTATAAACCATGCTTTAGCTGTTGCCATTGTGTACATCTACTCTATAGTGTAAGCTCTCTCTATAACCTAACAAATGTGTACTTCAATGAACTGCGCTCTTGAGACGAGCTGCGTTGCAGCCCTTGTAACGAGAATACGGCTGTTTCACACGGACAGAACGTCGCGAAGCTGTCAACGGGAATGAACTAGCACCTACAGAAGTCGTTCTGACAAAATCCGAGTGACGAGGTCGTAGGATGCGATAGAGCTGTTTGCCTGCGAGCCGATTAGAAGTGACCGTTCGCGCCATCTTGTTGTGGCTGGACGATCCTTCTGACGATCCACCTGACAATCCACCTGACAATCCACCTGACAATCTACCTGGTGATTCACCTGACGACACACCTGGCAGCATCGTAGTCGCGCAGCAGAGATGCGCGTGAAGCGGCAGCGGGAGGTGCGGCGCCATGTGCGCTTCTACCGCACGAGCTGCGGCTTCCGCGAGCCGTTCAAGGCCGTCGCGGACGGCACGTTTCTGCACCACGTCACGCGCCTCCGCCTCTCGCCGCTCGCCACGTCACTTCCCAAGCTGCTCGGCTTTCCGACACGTGTCTACATCACACGGTGCGTGTCCACGTCACACGTGGGTCGCATCGCATCAACCTCTCACGGCCGGTATTAAGCTGCGCGCCGTCATGAGTTTCCACGTCACAGGGGTGTGTGTCCAGATCATACGGTTCCACGTCACACTGTCCGTATCGCTGTCCGCTTCCCCGAGGCCTTTCAAACCTCCCACCCATCGTGATTCGCCGACCCTTGAACCCTTGCAAGACCCCTCTCAGGCTCTTGCGGTACCCCTTTCAACCCCTCGCAACCCCCTTTAAACCCCCGACACCGGAAGAGAGGATTCAAGCCTCAAACCCTCAACCCCAAACCCCGAACCCCGATACCCAAGCTCCAACCCTCCGTCTCTCTCTCTCTCTCTCTCTCTCTCTCTCTCTCTCTCTCTCTCTCTCTCTCTCTCTCTCTCTCTCTCTCTCTCTCTCTCTCTCTCTCTCTCTCTCTCTCTATCCCTCTCCCTCGCCCTCTCTTCCACCTCGCCCCTCGAGATATGAGTGACTTTTTTTAGTCGTCCCAAAAAGTCACTCATATCATGTCTCTTCGCATCCCCTCCCCTCTCCCTCTTACCTCATCTCTCCCCCTCCCTCACTGCCCTCGATCCCTCTGAATTCCTCCCCCTCCCCTCCCCCCCTGGCAGGTGCATTCTGGCAGAGCTACAGCGCTAGGGGGGCGCGTTTTGAGGCGCCTCAAAAGGCGCGCAGGTGGCATTCTGGCGGAGCTGCAGCGCCGGGGGGACGCCGTCAATGCCTCCTCTCCTCTCCTCTCCATGACAGGACATTCCGCCTGCCCCCCTCTCATCCCTCCCCCTCTTTCTCTCCCCCCCCCCTCCGCGGGTGGCATTCTGGCGGAGCTGCAGCGCCGGGGGGACGCCGTCAAGGCCTCCTCTCCTCTCCTCTCCTCTCCTCTCCTCTCCTCTCCTCTCCTCTCCTCTCCTCTCCTCTCCTCTCCTCTCCGCTCCTCTCCTCTCCTCTCCTCTCCTCTCCTCTCCTCTCCTCTCCTCTCCTCTCCTCTCCTCTCCTCTCCTCTCCTCTCCGCTCCTCTCCTCTCCTCTCCTCTCCTCTCCTCTCCTCTCCTCTCCTCTCCTCTCCTCTCCTCTCCTCTCCTCTCCTCTCCTCTCCTCTCCTCTCCTCTCCTCTCCTCTCCTCTCCGCTCCTCTCCTCTCCTCTCCTCTCCTCTCCTCTCCTCTCCTCTCCTCTCCTCTCCTCTCCTCTCCTCTCCTCTCCGTGGGGGGACTTTTCGCCACTGTCCCCCTCATCCCTCTCAGAGAGAGAGGGAGACGCCCCCGCTCTCATCTCCCTGCCTCACTGTGCTCCATCCGATCATCTCCCTGCCTCCCACCCCCCCGATGATCCTCTCCGCTCCTCAAAAGGCGCGCAGGTGGCACATTGGCAGAGCTACAGGGCTAGGTGAGCGCCTTTTGAGGCACTTTAAAAGGCGCGCAGGTGGCATTCTGGCGGAGCTGCAGCGCCCAGGGGACGCCGTCAATGCCTCCTCTCCTCTCCTCTCCATGACAGGACATTCCGCCTGCCCCCCTCTCATTCCCCCCCTCTTTCTGTCCCCCCCCCTCCGCAGATGCACTCTGGCGGAGCTGCAGCGCCTGGGGGGCAGCTTTAATGCTTTTTCTCCTTGCTCTTCGTGGGAAGACTTGCTGATGGCCCCCATTGTAGCTTTTGAGTCGACTCAGAAGTCACCGGGCGGGCGGGGCGCCTTCAAGGACTTCTCTCCTCTCCCCATGACACGATGTTCCGCCTGCCCCCCTCTCATTCCCCCGCCCCTCACCTTTCCCCACCACCCAAACCCCCTCCCCCAACCCCCCCCCCCTTCCCGCAGGTGCATTTTGGCGGAGCTGCAGCGCCTGGAGGACGCCTTCAAGGACTTCCTTCCCTCCTCTCCATGCTGCTCTCCCTCTCTCCTCTCTTCACCCTCTGATCCTTCTCCCCCCCCCCCCCCCCCCCCTTCCCGCAGGTGCATTTTGGCGGAGCTGCAGCGCCTGGGGGATGCTTTCAAGGACACGCGCTTTGCTGCCCGCCAGCTGGAGGTCGCCAGGTATGCCACGTGGCAAGGATGCCTAGGTATGCCTAAACAGGATCAGAGGGCATCAGAGCCCATCCAGCGCCTCGTGGCAGGTGGTATCAGGTCAGGTGGTGGTAACCAGCATTCAGTAGCCATTCTCCCCATCATTCATCCCTCCGTTGCCCCCTCTCTCCCCTTTCAGGTGCACGCATGAGGGCGACGAGGCAGTGACGGCATCGGAGTGCATACAGCACCTCGTCGCGGGTGGTAACCAGCAGCACTTCTTCGTGGCCTCGCAGGACATTGAATTCAAGAAGCTTCTCAAGAAGGTTCGTCCAGGCCCATTTTCTAGTCAAAGATGGCACAGAGATGCCACGTGCAGCTCTTCTCCACGTGCAGCTCTTCTCCACGTGCAGCTCTTCTCCACGTGCAGCTCTTCTCCACGTGCAGCTCTTCTCCACGTGCAGCTCTTCTCCACGTGCAGCTCTTCTCCACGTGCAGCTCTTCTCCACGTGCAGCTCTTCTCCACGTGCAGCTCTTCTCCAGGTGCAGCTCTTCTCCAGGTGCAGCTCTTCTCCAGGTGCAGCTCTTCTCCACGTGCAGCTCTTCTCCACGTGCAGCTCTTCTCCACGTGCAGCTCTTCTCCACGTGCCGCTCTTCTCCACGTGCAGCTCTTCTCCACGTGCAGCTCTTCTCCACGTGCAGCTCTTCTCCACGTGCAGCTCTTCTCTTCTCTTCTCTTCGGGGGTTTCCCTCTTGGTTTGTCTTTTGAGTAAGCTTAAAATTTAACATGCATGTTTTCTTCAGGTGCAGCTCTTCTCTTCGCTTTCCCTCTCGGTTCGTAGTGTCAATTCACCAATTCCTGGCATTCCTAGTATTGAATCCAGAGACTCTTTGTGAATTGCCCAGACGTTTGTGAAGTCTCCAGATGTCGCCACTGCACTGCACATCCCATCCTCCTCGACCGTCCTTCCCCCCACCCTTAATCTTTTCCTTTTTTTAACTCAAATCTCCACACATCCTTCCATTTCCATTCTTTTGCCCTTTTCTTTGTAAGAAACCTAAGGGTGTCTGATTTACTTCTTTTTCTTCTCGTAAGCAAGCACTGTCCCCACCCCCTTCTTGCCTCCTTCCCTGCACCCCACTCAACCCTCTCCTTCATTCCTCCCCACCCCGCGCAGGTGCCAGCAGTGCCAATCATCTCAGCCAATGGGACGTCAATCTCCCTCGAGCCGCCCTCTCCTCTCGACCTCTCCCTTTCCAAGAAATCCGAATCTGCCCGGCTCGGGCTGCCCGAACACGAGCAGCAGCAGCTGCTGCTGGCGCGGGCAGCCAAGCGAAAGAAACGAATCGAGGAGACACAGAAAGGGCTTGTTCCTACAGTCGTCGACAGGACGAGGCAGCGAGGCGATGTTGCTGGGAGCGAGAGAAAAGCAGAAACGGGAGTAGAGGGAGGAGGCGAGGGGGAGGGTGTTTCTGGGAGTGAGGGAGAAGGGAGGGATGGGGCAGGTGGTGAAGGGGTGGAGGAGGGGGTCGGGGGGGCAGGAGGGGTAAATTCAAATGCAGATGCGTATGGGTATGGATATGATTCAGAGGAGGAGGGAGAGGAGAGGAAGCCGGAGTGGAAGCGGCTGGGGTATGTGAAGGACCGGGCCAAGTTCAAACGGAAGCGAGTGAAGGTGAGAATGCGGGTGCGAATGCGTATGCACATGGTATGGGTACGATTTGGAGGAGGGACATTAGTGAAAGCGTCTTGGGTATGTGAAGGACAGGGCCACGTTCAAGCGGAAGCGCGGTGAAGGTGAGAGTGTGAGTGTGAATGTGTGCGGAGATGGTTATGGGTTTTGGTTATGGGTTCTACGAGGAGGGTGAGGAGTGAAGCAGCTAGGGTATGTGAAGGGCAGGGGCAAATTTAAGCAGAAACGAGTGTGAGAGTGTGAGAGGTAACGACGTGGTTTTTCTAGTCTACGCAAAAGTCGAGCCCGAGTGGAAACAAGGTGGGGTATGGGAAGCACTGGGGCAAGTTCAAACTGAAGCGATTTTTAAGTCGACTTAAAAATCGGAAGCACTGGGGCAAGTTCAAACTGAAGCGGCTGATGCTGAGTGGTAGTGGAAATGAATGCAGGTGAGAGAGTGAGTGAGGGACGAAGAGTATCTGTGTGAGGGTGTGAGGGGGGTGTGGCTGCAAGGAACAGGAGACATGCTTGAACTCTTCCTACATTCTCACTGTCCCTGCACTCACTGTCGCTGGAAAAATTGTACGTCTTCTGATCTGATCCAGGCCCTTTCACACCACAGGGACCCACACTCTGAACCGCAACGCAAGCAGGTTTGTTGTGAGGCATCTGTTTTAAAGCGTTTCGAAACTCATCTGCTCCGTGCAAGAAGAAGGCCTGCTCAGCAGGAGGGGCGGGGAGTGAAGGGAGGAGGCACAGCGATTTCCTAGTTGACATAAATATGTACTTCTTGTATACCGCACCCTTCCACACCACAGGGACCCAACCCTCTATCATGCAAGAAGAAGGCCCGCCCAGCAGGGGGAGTGGGGATTGAAGGAAAGAGACAAGGGATGGATGGAGCAGGGCCGAAAAAGAGGCAGAGGAGACGGCGGAAGGGAGGCCAGGCGGCTGAAGGAGGTGCGGTGGATGGGAATGGTGGAGCCTCTGAATAGTAGTCAAACGCGCTTGTTGTTAAACTTAGGACGCGTCACATTTGAAAAACCGAGGAAGGATCTTGTGCAGGATCGGTGTTTCACTTGTGACGCGTCCTTATGTTCACTTGCAGAGAATACATGTTTTGCAGTGTTTGGCGTACCAATGCAAATCAAGCGCTTGTTGAAATAATAGCCTTTTTATCAGACTTGCACACCTTCTTCGAGTTGTTCGGGATTCGAGACATCTCAGAAATTCCTCGAGCTACTCCGAATCGAAACAAACCATTTCCGCTCCGCACCAATAATCGTGAGCTCGGGGTTTCCTCCGCGCGAGCCCACTGTTTGCCGTTTCGCCTCTCAAATCACTTGGTCTCTTCTCTCTGCCGTGGCGCCGCGAATTGCGCTCACGCACGTCTAGTGCCATGAAACTCGCCGCCATGCGCTCATTCCGATCTTCGGTTTACTGCAAACGCAATTCTTTTAGTGACTTCTTTTGGAGCGTGTCGTCGCTCGCTGCTCCTTTGATCGAGTTTCGCGCTGGTCAGATTTCAGCAGTAATGGCGCGAACTGCCACAGAGCCTGGTAGAACGAGAGGATGATTTCTCGACAGACGAATTTTAAAACGATATTCGGTTAGCAACACCACGACACGAAGTTTCGCCCTAATCTGCTGCTGTGTTTCGCCACGAGACCTGCAGCGTAGTCGACAACGATTCCTGGATTTAGGTTAGCACTACCCTACCCATTCCCAGAGGCTGCAGCCATTTTTGTCTCTTCATTCTTGAAGGGCCTCAGAATTCGTCGCATTTCGGCTGAGCGCGGCTTTTCCAGCCCACTCGGAGAATGTCGGCGACGAGCGAAGCCGGAGGTACTGCGTGGGGCGTGTCTCCCACGGTGAAGTCCGTAATCATCGTCGGCGTCTCAGCATTCGTCGCAGTGATCGCTGTTTTCGTCATCGGATGTTTCGTCAACACCGTGCGATCGAGGAGAATACGAGCTGAATCCGCAGCCGCGGCAGCAGCAGCAGCAGCAGCAGCAGCATCAGTCCATGCGATGGACGGGGCGGCAGCGACGGAGAATGCGAGCATGAAAGCTCAACCCGCGGGAGTGCCGTAGGAGGCTCTAAGGATATATGTTTCACGGTATCTTTTCGAGCACATGGTTTCTGCATTAAGCGGTAGGCCAAATATTCGTTTGCGGCGCATTCACCCGCATCGCCGCGAGCCTACTAAGTTCATAACATGAGAGCGACGCGAGAGTTCCGAAAAGGACGTGATTTGGTAGTACAGTGTTCCACATTTTGTACTCGATCACACTAGGCACATGCCATCACTAGGATTCGCCTTACACACGTGTACCAATGGTAGCTACGGTAGTATCAATCTTTTCTCTTTTATCAGATCAATGAATTGGAAAATATCAAGTTTGCTGTTTAAGAAATAAACTGGTTTTAGAAAATTTATACGTAATCTAAAAACCGATATACGTAAACAGAACGTGGGCGTTTGGTCTAGTGGTATGATTCTCGCTTCGGGTGCGAGAGGTCCCGAGTTCGATTCTCGGAACGCCCCTACCTTTTCGGTCACTGCTTTTGCTTGAAGCCCTGAAACGAATGCGCGTTCAAAGAATCCCTGTCCCCTGTCCTTGCTTTTTGTAAGTAGTCGCGAAGAGCTTGTTAGTTTCACGTAGCGAATCTGTTTGTCGCTGGGAGCTTGGGAGACTAATACCAAATTGAACTCTGACGATCGAATATCCAAGTGACACTTCCTTTCGTGAAAGTAACTCAATGAGGGCAGGGAAGGGGGTCGCACACAGCGGATCAGGTGAACGAGTGTGAGGCGTGGTATACCTCGAGAACAGGCAACACCTGGGGCAAATCGCGCCAGGCACAAATATACCTGCAGGCATAATACCTGCCACGAGAGCCGCACACAATTTTAGTATTCGTGTCGCAGGGTCAAGAATGATCAGTCTGGTCTGGAATCGCAGCTTACGTTTGATCGTCATCTTGCCGCCCGCTCTTTCAGCCTTGCGGGGACGGCGCTAGAGCAGGGAGACATCGGAGGGAACACGAGGGGATGAAAGCGACAGGCAACCATCACCTGCTTCGCGGGGAAACCCTTCCCCTCCTTCCCCAGGAAAGCCTTCGCTCGGGCGTATTGGCGCTCGCTTAGGATGACTCGTCGAAGCCCCCTTCCAATAATTTCGGCGGGGAAAACGTCGTTTCGGCAGCAACGTTGCTTGCCAGTTCGTGTCTCGAGATCTTTGCTATTGGCCTCGTGCGGTGCTAACTTCAGCCGCGTTTCGTTCGATTTTGTTGTCACTAGCAAGAAGGCGCGATGTACAAACGGCGACACCAATCACACACCAAGCAACCTCTGCGGCTTTACATTTCTTTGCTTCATACCGTTCCGATCTCAGACCGATTCTTGATCCGTAGCTGGAACCTTTGCCCGCCATGGCTCGTGCAACTCTCCTCTTCGTGAATGTTACAATCGCCATCGTCGTCATCTCTTCACTCATCTGCATGCCGCGCGCGCTCGCGGCTGATGACGGCTTGCCTGAGGTGGAAGTAGCAGCCAACAGAGCTGAAGTTCAGGATCTGGCGAAGTTTGCAGTGGCTGAGAATAACAAGCGAAAGGTATGTTACACCTGACTATGTTGAAACGTCGGTGGTAAGATAAAGTTGGATGGGTTATTTTGTGACAGGCAACAACAGCCACAGGTACTCCCACATCCCAGAGAGGAATTCTGCTTTGGAGGTGGTCCGATCTGTTACAATGGTGCTTCTTATTTTTATTCTTATATATTTTTGGTACAGAATCCACGGTACACAAGATTGCAGTACTCATTCTGTACCTTATCTTGCCCATCTATACTGATTACCCATGAACCTGACGCATCCTTTCACGCACGCACGCAAGCGCACACCCATTGACGTTCTGATGCAGGTGGAGCATCACACTCAGGCACTCACACCCGCTCACTCCTCTTCTTCTCTCTCTCCTCTCCCCTTCTCCCTCCTCTCCCTCTCTCCCCCTCTACCCCTCTCCCCCTCTACCTCTCTACCTCTCCCCCTCTCTCCCTCTCCCTATGCTATGGGAATTACAGGCAACAAACCTCCAGTTCGTGTTTGTGTCTTCAGCATCTCAAACGTTTGACAGTAAAACCAGAGCTACCAGGTGGAAGATTCTTCTGATCGCCGACAAGCCCGGCAAAGGCTTTCCTCCCACCAAGTTCCTGGCGACCGTAGTTGAAGTGAAAAAGATAAAATTCAGGGTTTTGATCTCGTTCGAGGAGCGGTAAATGAATTCTAACGCGGACAATGAAAAAGATAAAAGCGGTTAGTGATCCTGCACAACATGCATGGCTTGTGATATCTTGTTACAATGCAATAGCGTGAACGAATATTATTATTGGTATATTCAAGAAAGAATGTTATAGTACACTTCGTCATGCGCTTGAGTATCATTGCGCTGAGGCGTGATCCGCTATTGTGAAGCTGTACACGTTCTTTCCAGTGCTTGCAGTATCGCAATAGAACAGAACACCCCCACCCCACTTTTCCGGAATCGAGACGAGAATTAGAAATCTCTCGCCCATCACATGCTCCTCCCGCGTATTTGCCACGCTGCCCCTGTTTTCCTTCCAGGTTTCCAGCTTTCCAGTCGTGAGCACCACACCCAGCCTTATCCACGTGTTTTCTCCTCGTACCCGCCTCGCAATTTCCACGCTTCGCACATCCAACCCCGCTCCTCACTCTCCGCGCACTCCGCTTTGCGCATTGCGCACTCCGCATTTTCCGAGATGGCATCCGCCGCGCTTCTCCGCCTGGCCCCCCTCGCGTGCCTTCCAAACGCCTTTCCTCTCGCGCAAGGCCCCGCGTCATCTCGCCGTCTCTCGCTGGGGAAGGCCGCGGGAACGACGAGACGCAGCACGCGGGGAGGTATCTCATCTCATCTGCAGCGTACGTCCTCGTTAGAAGCCTTCTACGCCTCTGAGAGCAACGCCGTTCCTCGTTAGAAGAGCAACGCCGTTCCTCGTTAGAAGAGCAACGCCGTTTCTCGTTAGAAGAGCAACGCCGCTCCTCGTCTTCCTCGTTTCAACGCCCCTCCTTGCCAGCTTGCAGCATTCGGCGAGCGCACTCTCTTTTGCTCCTTTCCCCGCCGCGCTTTATCGTTGCCCCTCCTTCCGCCCCGCTCCTTCTGCCCCGCTTCCTCTCGGCCAACTTCAACGTTGCCCTTCCGCCCTTCCGCCCTTCCGCCATTCCGCCCTTCCGTCCTTCCGCTCTTCTTCCTTTCCGCCTTTCTGCCTTTCCGCCCTTCCTCACTTCCGCCCTTCTGCCCTCTCCTATCTGACGCCTTCCCCTCCCCCCTTGCGCGCAGGCCTGCGCGTGCGCGCGGAGCAAGGAAGGCGGGCGGGGGAGACAGAGCAGCGCAGCGCAGCGGGGGAGGAGGAATCGCGGAATGAGCTCCGCCTCATGTCCGTTGCGCCCATGCCCGTCGCCGCCCTTGCCGCTGGTAGGCTAAAGGGGAAAAGGGGGGAGGGGGGAAGGGAGGGAGGGGCGGAAAAGGGGAGGGGGGAGAGGGGGAGCGCGGGTGGCGGGAGTGGGGAGGGGGGAAGAGGGGGAGGGTGGGGAGGAGGGGAGGGGGGGAGGGTGGGAGGAGGGGAATGGGGTAAATGGGAGGCTTGCAGCTGGTAAGCCAGGAAGGAAGGTGAGTCGTAGAGTGAGAACGGGAAGTACGCAAGGAAGGCGATGCATAGAGTCAGTGCGCAGAGGGAACGGATGGGAGAGGGTAGAAGGGGAGGCAATGCTGGTACAGCGAGGGAGATGGAGGGGATGTGCAGATTAATTTCTGTTCTCTCACTTTTGTTCTCTCTTCTACTCCACTCTTTCCCTGATTCTGTGCACCCATGAGATCTTACAGGAAAGTTCTCCCTCACTTCATGCAAAGCAAACCTCGGTTCCCGCCAACCCCATCACTTCCTGTTATTCACCATTCCTCTTGGCAACCTCTCTTCATAACCCCTCGGTCCCCCAGCCACCAAATCTCCTGCTTGCCTTCCCTTTCCCCCCCATCTATCTTTCCACCCTTCCCCCCTCGCCCCCCCACTCTCCCCCTTCCTTTTTCCTCCTCCCCTCCACTCTCCCCCTCCCTTTCCCCCCCCCTCTCTTCTTTCCCCCTCTCCATTTCCCCCCTCCCCAATCGCCCAGCTGACGCCTTGAGAGAGCTGTTAGAGCCGTATGGGGAGTTGGTGCGTTCCTGGAATCTTCCTGACTGGCTCATCCACTGGGGGCATCCCGGCAACATGGTGAGATGTGATGTGCACATGGTGAGATGTGATGTGCACATAGTGACATGTGATGTGCACATGGTGACATGTGATGTGCACTTGGTGACATGTGATGTGCACATGGTGACATGTGATGTGCACATGGTGACATGTGATGTGCACATGGTGACATGTAATGTGCACATGGTGACATGTGATGTGCACATGGTGACATGTGATGTGCACATGATATCTACCCAGCCTTTCATTGCTTGCTCAATCTCATGCCATGTGTCATGTGTTCCCATCATGTGCTGCCACGTGGCGTGCAGGCAGTGGTTCTTCTAGCCATGGGGGGATACGGCTCCTACCTGGGATGGCAGATTCGCCTCGCCTCGTCACCTGTGAGCTATGTGGCAGGGGTGAGAGAGGAATATTGGAGGAAGGGGGTGGGGAGAGAGGGGAGGGGGGAGAGAAGGTGGGGGGCTGTTGGGACGGTTGAAAGCAAGGGGGGCTTCAGGTACGGCTCCTACCCGTCATGGCCTTCATCTTTCTCTTCTCTTCCTTTCTCCATGTGCTCCCGTGCTCCCGTTGCTCCCGTTGCTCCCGTTGCTCCCGTTTCTCCCGTTTCTCCACGTGCTCCGTGGTTTAGGAGGCCAAGGCAGCAGCGCGGGCAGCCCACCCGCCCATCATGGGCTTCATGTTTCTCTTCTTCGCCATCGGTGCCACTGGTGGGCTCACCTCCCTTGTCACCACCGGCCGACCCATCTTTGAAAGGTGAGGGGAGGAGGAAAGTGAGAGGGGAAGGAAGGTGTGGGATGGTGAGTGTGCATGTGTGGGATGGTGAGTGTGCATGTGTGGGATGGTGAGTGTGCATGTGTGGGATGGTGAGTGTGCATGTGTGGGATGGTGAGTGTGCATGTGTGGGATGGTGAGTGTGCATGTGTGGGATGGTGAGTGTGCATGTGTGGGATGGTGAGTGTGCATGTGTGGGATGGTGAGTGTGCATGTGTGGGATGGTGAGTGTGCATGTGTGGGATGGTGAGTGTGCATGTGTGGGGGCCACTAGCAGGCTCACCTCTCTCGTCACCACCGGCCGGCCCATGTTTGAAAGGTGAGGGGTGGAGGAGGGTGAGTGAGGGATGCTGAACGGTTTGTTGCTGTGTGAGCGGTTTGCTTCCATGATTCCCCCGGCAGACTCACCACTCTCGTCACCATCATCAGCCCGCCTCTTTCTTCCACTCTCTTACTGCCTCTTTCTTCCACTCTCTTATTGCCTCTTTCTTCCACTCTCTTATTGCCCCTTTCTTCCACTCTCTTACTGCCTCTCTCTCTGCCTCCTTCCGTCCTGTTTCATTCAACTATTCATATTATTTATTGTTTATTACTTTTTATTCGTTAAATCTATCATTGATCATTTATTGATTTTTTTACTCAAATGTTGTTCCATGAGGCACTCGCCCATACTCAGGCATGGCTGATATTGTGCTGCTCATCCATCGGACGGACTTTCCAGCAGGGTCACAATATTATTCCCAATCCCAATAATATAGTGAAGGGCGTTTCTTCACTTATTCCCAATGCCATGCAGCCCCCATGCTTACTCAGGCATGGCTGGTCTCGTGCTGCTCACCATTCAGACTGCAATGACTGCCCTCTTCAAGGTGGGTCACCTGCAATGACTGCTCTCTTCAAGGTGGGTCACCTGCAATGACTGCTCTCTTCAAGGTGGGTCACCTGCAATGACTGCTCTCTTCAAGGTGGGTCACCTGCAATGACTGCTCTCTTCAAGGTGGGTCACCTGCAATGACTGCCCTCTTCAAGGTGGGTCAACTGCAATGACTGCCCTCTTCAAGGTGGGTCACCTGCAATGACTGCTCTCTTCAAGGTGGGTCACCTGCAATGACTGCTCTCTTCAAGGTGGGTCACCTGCAATGACTGCTCTCTTCAAGGTGGGTCACCTGCAATGACCGCTCTCTGTAAAATGCTCATTCCCGCTGCAAAATGCTCGCAGCTCAGAGAGTATGTCACAACTGCCCACTGCCGAGTATGTATTGAAATCACTTTTGAGAATTCTCAAAAGTGATTTCAATATAGCTGACCTACGATTCCCTCTTTATTTGACATGTTGGAAGTTACCTGCGCGGTTACAACACCGACTAGTAAGGGCTCGCTTCACTACAGCGGTAAGGGCTCGCTTCACTACAGCGGTAAGGGCTCGCTTCACTACAGCGGTAAGGGCTCGCTTCACTACAGCGGTAAGGGCTCGCTTCACTACAGCGGTAAGGGCTCGCTTCACTACAGCGGTAAGGGCTCGCTTCACTACAGCGGTAAGGGCTCGCTTCACTACAGCGGTAAGGGCTCGCTTCACTACAGCGGTAAGGGCTCGCTTCACTACAGCGGTAAGGGCTCGCTTCACCTAGTGTCGAGGATTGGAAGTCCCTTTGACCTTCGGGATTATTTGTCCGCGCTGGCAAGGGTAATCCGACTTGCGGTTCGGGTAGATTACACCTGGAGTTGTCTAGACCTCGGGGAATTCGGGGAAGTTAGAGGATAATGGGAAATGGGTAGAAAGGGGGTTAGAGTAGTCTTTCATTCTGTAATCCCACGGCGCTGACGAAGGCCCCACGGCCGAAATGCGTACGCCTACGCTCTTTACTGAAGTTGGACTTACTAAGTCCTGATTCTACTTTTTTCCCACTCTAAATACCCCAAGCGGTTAGTTAAAAATTCAGAGGAGACCACTCCGCTGCTGCGGTTCGAATCCACATCTTCTTGCGCATTCCCGCTGCAAAATGCTCGCAGCTCAGAGAGTATGTCACGACTGCTCACTGCCGAGTATGTGTGCCGTTTTGCGTGCACTCTTGCTCACTGCCATGCTCTGCTCACCCCCACCGCTCACCACTCACACTATCACGACTGTCCTCTTCGACATAAGTGGGTTGCTTGTTGCTCAATGTGGTCTACACACACCGCATTATAGTCCCTACTGTTAGGGTTGGTTCGCCCAACCACGGAACCTATGGCGAAAGTCTCTACGACGGCGGAATGACGGCGAAATGGAAGCGCGTGGATGATTCTAGGTGAAACGGTGGAAATCGGCCTACGGCGTGAGAAGGGAGAGAGAAATCGAGAAGGAATGTGTGAGAAGGAGGAAGAAGTATCGAGATTGAAGTTGACTAGGGGAAATTGTGGTTCGAGCTCGACGCGTGTTCGAGAAGGTTCCAGATTCGGCCTTGAGGAGTGTTCACCGAATTCGGTTCGGTTGCGTGTGCGACTCGGGGTGAAACGAAGGGCACGCGGTTACTTGGGAAACAAGTGAAGTTACGAATCGCATTTTGTACCTTGGTTGACTATAAAACTGCTTGTACTCATTCTGGAAATTACATCATTAAAACCAATCAGATTCAGAAAATTGTTGAAGTGTGTATTGACAACTTCAAACAGAGCTGCGCATACCATTGGATCCGGGAGATCGTGGAGAACACGATAAGCGATAGCAAGTAGACTATTGCCGGCTAAAGCGTTTACGATCCTAAGAACTGGTATCAGAGCTTGGCGAACGGGTGCGTCGGTCGTCGTGAGATTCACTTGGTGCGCTAAGTGAAATTAGTGGAGAAGAGGAGTTGTTCACGCCTATGCCATGGGAGACGAGGCGAGTTCGGGTTCCAGTTTGACTCTTGGAGACCCGCAGTTGAAGACTTTTCTCGAGGCCCTTGCGAGTGGCCGATTGGTGGCGAAACCGACGATCGGGCTCAGTGAAGCTCAGCGCTTCAACGGGAGCAACTACAACATGTGGCGGAATAAGTTCATTCGAAGGGCAGAGGAGGTGGACCTCTTGCCGTACTACCGTCCCGACGAGGAGACGATAGAGGGAGTTGCGCCTTCCATGACGGATACGAAGGAGAAAATAGCGGCATTCAAAAGGCAAAGTAAGCAAGCGTTCTTTCAGCTTTGTCACTCAGTTGCCGATGGAATCGCGGTGGATTTGGACCAGTTTGCAGGGGAGCTGAACCCTGCACTGCGAGCGTGGGAATACCTGGAGTCCACGTACATGGGTACGAACGATGTCAACAAAAAGGCGATTCAGAAGCAGCTGCTGATGCTGAGCATGGAGAAAGGCGAGAAAATCATCACCTACATCAACAGGGCGAAAAGCTACCTCGACGATTTGCGGGTGATGGGAGCCGCGGAGACGGAGCATGAGATGATTGACTATATCATCCAAGGCCTTCCTAAGGAGTGGGAATCCGACATCGGTATATTTACGTACCAACCGCCGGAGAGTTTGATGAAGCTGCAGGAGATTCTACAGTCGCTTGAGCTGGTTAAGGAGATGAGAAAGAAGAAAGCAGCATTAGTAGCTAAGGAATTTGACGAGGAGAGGCCTGCTTTTGTGAATGCCACGAAGGCGTTTGAAGCATGCTACCAGTATGGAAAAAGGGGGCATAAGGCGATAAATTGCTACGAGAACCCGCGAAGCAGAAACTATAAGGGCAAAGCAATGGAGAACGAGAAAGGAGAAAATGAGGGAGCGGAGTGGCAGCAGAAACGAGGTTTTGGCGGCAAGTGCGATTATTGTGGGCGCTACGGACATCGTGCCGCAGAGTGCTACTCCAATCCGAATAACAGGAGTTACAAGGGACCGTCGCAGCAGAGGATTGTGGCGGGTAAGGCGAATGTAGCGGAAGCGGAAAATGAGGATGTGATTTTGGGAGGAGCGCATTTTGGGAGGAGCGCATCTTGCGAACGTGGTGCGTTTACCGAAGGAGGTTCTGCAGACGAACGATCGTGAGAAGACGACATGGTTCATGGACAGCGGATGCAGGTCAGATTGGATGGAAAATGCGAGGGAGTCGAGTGAGCGTTACATACTGCAAGGCAACAGTGGGAAGTTGCCAGTGTCAGGAGAGGGCGACGTGGTGTTACAGAGCCCGTATGGAGAGATGAAATTGGAGAGTGTGCTCTTGGTTGAAGATTTGAAGGTGAATTTGGTCAGTCAGTCACAGCTTGATGAGTTGGGGTGCAAGATATTTTATGACAGTGGTGAGGTCACTGTGTTTGGTCCTGAGTGGGAGGTATGCTGATGGTTACTTCAGTGATGGGTTCTATTAGATGAACTTGATGGCGATGAACGACATGGATGAGTTTTATGAGGACCCTGAGTATACTGAGATGGGAGAATTGGAGAAGTTATCGACTGAAGATGATGAGAGTGAGTTCTCGGAGGATACGGTAGCAAGTGTCGAGGCAACAGTGAAGTACGAAGAGGAGATAGTGATCACGGATGTGACGAAAGTGAACGATGGAGATGGAGACGGTGTCAACACTTTTGCAGCAACGATCGTGATTGAAGATGAAGTAGTAAATGCAAAGTGTGTGGGAGTTGAAGCTATGAAATGGGGCATCATGGTGAAAGGATCAAAGGCAAATGCAACTGCAAAAGGGCGAGTGCTTACTAAGGAGGAACGCGTTAAGGAATGCGCGACTCGAGAGGTGTTGGGTGTTGAGATGCCGAGGAGCAGCGAGAGGCTCAAGAAAATGTTACATGGATTGGATGTCAAGGCGCTCAACTTCAAGACACGTAAGGAGAGGTTCAAGGTGCAGGAGCTGCAGGGGAGCGTGAAGCCGACCTAGATCCTGTGAAGACTACGAGGAACAGGGGAGGAGTGCGAGTGGAGTTCGTGGTTGACGAACCACGGGGGAGATTGTTAGGGTTGGTTCGCCCAACCACGGAACCTATGGCGAAAGTCTCTACGACGGCGCAATGACGACGAAATGGAAGCGCGTGGATGATTCTAGGTGAAACGGTGGAAATCGGCCTACGGCGTGAGAAGGGAGAGAGAAATCGAGAAGGAATGTGTGAGAAGGCTGAAGAAGCATCGAGATTGAAGTTGACTAGGGGAAATTGTGGTTTGAGCTCGACGCGTGTTCGAGAAGGTTCCAGATTCGGTCTTGAAGAGTGTTCACCGAATTCGGTTCGGTTGCGTGTGCGATTCGGGGTGAAACGAAGCGCACGCGGTTACTTCGGAAACAAGTGAAGTTACGAATCGCATTTGATACCTTGGTTGACTATAAAACTGTTTGTACTCATTCTGGAAATTACAATATTGAAATCAATCAGATTCAGAAAATTGTTGAAGTGTGTATTGACAACTTCAAGCAGAGCTGTGCATACCATTGGACCCGGGAGATCGTGGAGAACACGATAAACGATAGCAAGTAGACTATTGCCGGCTAAAGCGTTTACGATCCTAAGACCTACAAATCCATCCATGAGCTCCATTGCTGGATACAATATGGATGAACTTTGCCCCTCGCATGTCTCTGTTTCTTTATCCCGTGTTCCTCCCCATCTCTGTTTCTATACCCCATCTAACCCCATCAAGTCCATCTTTTTCTTCCCCACTCCTCCAGGGCAATCCTGACCTGCGGGGTGTGCATGGCTATTTGGGGATTCTTATTATGGTGCTTTTTGTTGCTCATGGGCTTCTCGGGCTTCAGTTGGGTCTAAGTTATTAGGGTACATTCCTGCGGGGACACTTGTGTCTCAATCCCCCTTTTCCCGAGTCGTGTCGAAACATTTTGTCAATCTCGCGTCACATACAATGAATGTATTGCGAAACTAGGAGACCAGGCGAAATGCACAGTTGGGCGCGTTTGA